TGACCCATTTTCGTCCCATTAGTCTCTGTAATGTTTTGTATAAAACTTTGACTAAAGTGTTAGTTAGTCGTCTCAGATCTATTTTGTCTGCTGTGATTGGGCCTTTTCAAAACAGTTTCATCCCTGGCCGCTCCACTTGTGATAACATCATTATTGCACAAGAAATTGTTCATACTCTTAGGGGAAAAAAGGGTAAAAAAGGTGACATGATTTTAAAAATAGACCTTGAAAAAGCCTATGACAATGTGTCTTGGCAATTTCTTCACCAAACTCTTGTTGATTTCAATTTAAATAATCACTGGATTGAATTAATCATGAACTGTGTTACTAATGTGAAAGCCTCTGTGCTTTGGAATGGTGAGAAGTTGAAAGAATTTAATATGGAGAAAGGGTTGAGGCAGGGTGACCCCTTCTCTCCTTATCTCTTTGTTTTGTGTATGAAGAGACTCTCGAGCATGATTATGGCCAAAGTGAATGATAAGGGGTGGAAAGGGGTTAAGGCTTCGGCCCAAGGCCCTGTTATCACACACTTATTTTTTGCTGATGACTTGCTTTTGTTTGGTAAAACGGATGAAAAGAATTGTCAAATCATCATGGATGTTTTGAATGAGTGTAGTTCTCTTTCAGGTCTCAAGATTAATCTTTTAAAATCTAAACTTTTCATTTCTCCTAATGTTATTAATGTCAAGGCCAAATCCTTGAGTAGATTGTGTGGTATCTCTCTAACTCGAGATTTGGGTCATTATCTTGGCATCCCTTTGCTTTATAAAAAGTGTAACCAGAGTTACTTTCAATTTATTATTGATAAGATCCAAAGAAGATTGTTTGGCTGGAAAACTAATCTTCTCTCAATGACGGGAAGAGCCACTTTAATACAATCAGTTACTTCCGCTCTCCCCTCCTAAACTATGGATGTTCCCATAAGCATCTGTAAGGTTATGGATAGATGAATCGTAACTTTTTGTGGGGTGATTCTGAATCTAGTAAGAAAATTCATCTTGTGAATTGGGATACTGTGTGTTATAATAAAAGAGTGGGTGGGCTTGGGCTTCGCAAGGCCAAAGCTCAAAATCTTGCTCTTATGTCCAAAATGGGGTGGAAAATTCTCAATAATGAGGATTGTTTATGGGTGAAAGTGATTAAAAGGTAAATATCTTTTAAAAGATTCCCTTCTTTCTTATACTTCCAAGAGAAACTCCTCACTAACTTTGAGGGGCATTCTCAGAACCAGAGATATCTTGAGAAGAGGTATCAAGTGGGGTGTGGGTGATGGTGCTAAAATTTCCATTTGGCATGCTTGGTGGTGCGGAAAAGCTTCTCTCGCTTCACAATACCCCGAACATAGTTCAATCAATATGGATACTGTGGATAAACTTATGAATGATGTTGGGGAGTGGGATGTGAATAAGATCAAGGCTTGCATTTCAAGTGAAGCCCTTGATTATGTGCTTAATGTTAATTTATCTCGTTTTGTTACCTACCCTGATACTCCCCATTGGAAGGGTTCCACCAGTGGCAATTTTTTCTGCCGCTACAGCCTATCAAATGGCCTCTAGTTCGATAGATAATTCTATTAATATGGATTGGGTTTGGAAATTAAAAATTCCATAGAAGCTTAAAGGCTTTTTGTGGTTGACTCTTCATGGTAAACTCCTTACCAATTCTATGAGGTTAAAAAGGGAAATTACGGACAACGCAAATTGTCCTAGATGCAATCATCTTTTGGAGGACGTTGAACATTTGCTTCGTGGTTGTACTTATTCCAGATTTGTTTGGAATGAATTAATGGGAAGCTATCAAAGTTCTAGGGCCATGTTGAGTCCCCTTAATGTTTGGCTCAAATCCAATTTACGTAATAGCATGGACATGGGTCCAGATTGGGGCCTCATTTTTGCTGTTACTATTTGGCAAATTTGGAAAGAAATGAATAGAAAAGTTTTTCATGATATTGCTCATTCTTGGCAGAGAACAATTTTTCTAACATTTAATTATGTTAATGAGATTAAACATGCTTTCTCTATTTCTTTGACTAGTAATAGATTAACTCATGTTATGGTTAAATGGATTCCGCCATCTGCAGGTAAAATCAAGCTCAACACCGATGGTTGTGCTCGAGGAGATCGAGCTGAAGGAGGCTTTGGCGGAGTATTTCGGGATGAAGATGGCTCTTGGTTGTGTGGATTTTTTGGCAAGCTTGACTCTTGTTATAGTTTGGAGGCTAAAATGTGGGGTATTTATAGGGGGTTAACAATGGTGCTAGAGAAGGGTTTGCACGAAGTTATCAACGAGACAGACTCTACCTTAGCTGAAGAATTACTCAATAAAGGGCCACCTTCAAACTGCCCTTTCAGAAGCATAGTGGAGGATTCTAGACACCTAATCTGCAGGTGTAATTGCTCTGTTCAACATATTCTGCAAGAGGGTAACAAGTGTGCAGATTTATTAGCCAACATGAGAGCTGACCAATTGGAACCATTGGTGGTGGTAGATGAACCACCTATTGTTGTTAGAAGCCAAATTGTGGCTGATATGGTGGGGATGGCATATCGGAGAATCTAGTTCCTGAGTGCCTCCCTTCTTTCCTTCTTCTTTTTCTTTCTTCTGCTCTTGTTTCCTTTCCGATGTATCCAAAAAAATGAACGCTAAAAATGAGAGGGAGAGGAGTGTAGGAACGCTTTACATGAGAGTGAGCTCATTAGAGGTGGAATTAGGGGGGACAACATTAGAGGGATGTAGCACTACTCTTTTACTTTTTTACACATCTTTTTGGAAGAAGTTAGAAAGTCAACTAAAATAGCTAATTTCCAAACAAGTTACTTTCTTATATTGGACCTTGAAGTATTATATTTTTTAGGTAAATTACACTTACACCCACTGAGATTTGGGTTTAATATATATCACTTCCTGATGTTTGAGAAATTACACTAACCCCCCTGTCATTGTAATTATTTAGACGGAATGAAGACATTGAACTCATGCACTCTCTCTTTTTTTGCTTTGCTTTACTTTCTCTTTTTTTTTTTCCCCCCATTTTCTTTACTTTTTTTTTTAATGTAATTTCTTTTGTTTTTCTACTAGGAATTATTACCTTTTATATAAGTATAGGGTTTGTGAAATGAGAATATTAACCACAGGGGTGGGATTGTAATTTTTAGAACATCAAGGGGTGGGTAGTAAATGGACCAATCCTCAAGGGGTGTCAATGTAATTTACCCATATTTTTTCCACCTTGATCCTTAAAATATTAATTTTAATCAGAAAATAATCTATTTTCAAATAGTATTTTTTCCTCTACGTGTGACGAGATGGTTACATCGTGAAAGCAGGGTTCATCCTTCCCATGACAATCAACTTTCTCGGGCCATTTCCATAAATAAGCTAAAATAGTATAGGAATTCCCAAACTAAGCCTAGTTTTGAAAGAATTCCCAAAATAAGCTAACTCGCGGTTCACAATCGCGAGTTCAACAATTTTTTTCCCGTTTCGCGTGAAAGTTGGTAAATCTTAAATTCGTGATTACGAAAAGCGATTTTGATTAAGAAATTGCGGTTACAAAACGCGATTTTATCCAAAAAAAAAATTTCTGTTAAATTCGTGGTTCTAAACCACGATTTTATAAAAAAAAAAAATTCTTGAACTCGTTATTTCGATCCACACTTTTTGACCAAAATCTTTTCTTCTGAACTCGTGGTTGTGAATCACGAGTTCGTTCATATCACAAACCACACCACACCACACACTCACAGCCACAGCCACACCACACACTCTCTCTCCCTCTCTGACACATCACTCACACACACATCACACTTACATCAAAATAAAAATAAATAAATTTTAAGAATTAAATAAATATAAATAAATAAATATATTATTGGAAAAATATATTTTTTTTTTCAAATAAATTTTTTTCAATTGTTTTTTTAATTAATTTTTTTCCAATTAAATTTTTTTCTAATTTAATTTAATTGGTAAAAAATTTAATTGGAAAAATATATTATGGGGAAAATATATTATTGGAAAAAAATTTAATTGGGAAAATTTTTCCAATTAAATTTTTTTCCAATAATATATTTTCCCAATTAATTTTTTTTTCAATAATATATTTTCCCCATAATATATTTTTCCAATTAAATTTTTTTCCAATAATATATTTTTTCAATTAAATTTTTTTCCAATTAAATTAAATTAGAAAAAAATTTAATTGAAAAAAAAATTAATTAAAAAAACAATTGAAAAAAATTTATTTGAAAAAAATAATATATTTTTCCAATAATATATTTATTTATTTCTTAAAATTTATTTATTTTTATTTTGATGTAAGTGTGATGTGTGTGTGAGTGATGTGTCAGAGAGAGGGAGAGAGTGTGTGGTGTGGCTGTGAGTGAGTGAGTGCGTGGTTTGTGATATAAACTGGTCGTGAACTCGTGGTTCACAACCACGAGTTCAGAAGAAAAGATTTTGGTCAAAAAGCGTGGATCGAAATAGCGAGTTCAAGAAATTTTTTTTTTTATAAAATCGTGGTTTAGAACCACGAGTTTAAAAGAAAATTTTTTTGGGGATAAAATCGCGTTTTGTAACCGCGATTTCTTAATCAAAATCGCTTTTCGTAACCACGAATTTAAGATTTACTAACTTTCACGCGAAACGGGAAAAAATTTGTTAAACTCGCGATTGTGAACCGCGAGTTAGCTTATTCTAGGAATTCTTTCAAAACTAGGCTTAGTTTGGGAATTCCTTTACTATTTTAGCTTATTTATGGAAATGGCCCAACTTTCTCTCCATAGACATTGCTTCAATTAGTGGGAATTTTATTTGGGAATAAGTTTATTTTAGTGACGTTTTAATTTTTTAACTAAAACATAATATGAAAAAAATTATTATGTTTACAATATTTTTTGATTTTTTCTGGAAAAATGTACCAAAAAATAGAGTAAACAGAAAGAAATCTTCGATTTTTTGATATTTATTAATTTTTCAAACTTTTTTTTTAGTTTTTTTAGTTTTATTTTTTGGGCTAAAATCGTAACTTGCCAAACGAAGTACTTTGGGAAACCACCCCACTCTCTGAGTAGAGTGTTTCTTTATTTTTTGGGTGGAGTAAATGTAACAACAAAAAAATCAATCCTGTAAGGATCATTGTGAGAAAAATATAATACATAATGGAGGTTGAGATTGGGGAAGAAGGGAAACAATGAGATACTTCTAAGAATCAAATTAGACAAATAAATACATAACTTTGATGGTTAAAAGCGAAAATTCACTAATATTTTAAGAATTGTCATTTTGCAGCAAACCTTCACACGCTTTAACAATGACAAATTCAAATATTAAACTCAAGGGAACTCATAGGTTTCATCTGAGACAGTTCATTCATTTTTCATTCATATATTTATTTGTATGTATATATAATGGGAGGACTCATTATAAGGTGTGCTTAGCATTAAATATGGTTATGACCAAGTCTCTGTTTCATCTACTTGTTTGTTTTATATAGCTTTACATAGATACCATGTGTTCTTTTGTTGAATTCTTAAGCCTTCACACTTTTGTTTTAGTCAATGGTGGTTTGTGGGTATTGTATAAAACTTGTTTTGAAGAAGAAGAACCCAGTCACCCAAAATTGAAATCTACAACACATGGTCCCTTTTTATCAGAATATCAGTTGATTTGACGAGATTGTTTTGTTTCTTGAGAAAATGGGTCCAAGATTTCAGGTCTGCCTTTTTGTGATTTTCATTCAAATTTTGGTTGTAGCAGCATCTACCAACTCTATTGATGGTAAGCTTGCTTTTTGAGTTATTAGAAATTTGTGTTTCTTTGTCTATTCCAATGTTAAATTGAATGTCACATACAAAAAATAAAAGGTTTAAGGCCTGTTTGATTGTGTTTTCGTTTTCTGTATTCTGTTTTCATTTGGCAATGATTTACTGTGTTTTTTGTGGTTCTATGTCCTCAGTATGCTGGTAGTCTTTCATTTCTATTTCGATGCTCTATTTGTCTTATAAATAACTTTTTATTGATTTACAGTTTGTTAAAAGCCCATGAAGCCATCATCAAATTTAGTTTGGCTTTTTATCTGTAGTTTAAAAATTTGTTAGAATTGGATACAATATCTTGTTGTGAATCTTAGTCAACCCCAATTGATTGGGACAGCAAGCTTGATTTGATTTGACTATCTTCTTCTGAATCCTTGAATTATTTTCATTATGCATGGGATAAATTGCTTCTATTTCTTCTCAATTCCATTTTGGTTTTAGCATTTACTTGCAGCGAATTGGATAGTTTCTGTTTGAGAATTTGGTTTTTGGTGATTAAGACATGGAATTGTTGTTGACTTTTGATGCAGTTGATGCTCTGAACGCTCTCAAATCTAAATGGAAGAACACGCCACCGAACTGGGTTGGGTCAGACCCTTGTGGCAGCAGCTGGGATGGAATTTCTTGCAACAATTCACGAGTGACCTCCATGTAATGCAATCGTGTTCTACTGTTTTAAAAAAACTTGACAATCTTTGATCTTTAACCGGTTAACTTTCAATTTCAGGGTATTAGCAGGCATGGATTTGACAGGTTCCCTTTCCAATGACATCCTATCATTATCTGAATTGCAATATCTGTAGGTTTTCTAATTTTTCTTTTGCTTTTAATCCATTCAGATGTAATATAAATGGCATATTCACTTTCCGTTACCATCATCTTTGTAGACTACAATGCTTGGAATTGGATATCCTTAGCATTTTCAATAGCTTGATTCACCATAAACATAATTGCTGAATTATCATTTTGGATACCTTAAATAATATTACTTCCATAAGACCATTTTTAGTTGCTTGCTTAATTAGCTGCTTTATTTTTCTATATTTTCCATTCTTGATAGAAAAAAGAGAGGATAATTTCTCATTATTAACTTTTGCATACAGGGATCTATCTAACAACAAGGGTCTGACAGGAACTCTTCCATCATCAATCGGGAATTTGAATCAGCTTACAACCTTGTAAGAAAATTCTATCTATTTCTTAGTATCAGCAACTCGTGCAGTTACACTCCTTACATTGAATCACTTGCTCTTTGTTGCATACAGAATCCTCATTGGTTGCAGTTTCTCTGGTCCAATTCCGGACTCAATAGGATCTCTGCAGCAGCTGGTCTTCTTGTAAGAATTTCAAGTCCGGTGTATATGTCTAGTCTCATGTCTTTGGTCTTCTTAATTATGGTACAGTAAATATATCAAACTTTTATTGGCATTGTCTGCAGAGCTCTGAATGCGAACAGCTTCAGTGGACCAATCCCGCCTTCCATTGGTAATTTGTCTAATCTTTCATGGCTAGATTTAACCGACAACCAGCTTAATGGAACAATTCCAGTCTCTAGTAGGAGCACAACTGGAACTGGTCTGGATATGCTAGTTAAAGCAAGGCACTTGTATGTCTCACCTCTTTGAAATATCTAACTTAAATTATATTTTATTTTTTTCAAATTCTTTTGAAGATAACATGTTTTAGTATTATTGTTATTTAAATTTAAGCAAATTTCTGCCCATTATTCGCAGTCATCTGGGAATGAATCAGCTATTCGGCAGCATTCCATCTCAACTTTTCCACTCAAACATGAATCTGATACATGCGTAAGTTTCCAAATTGTAATCTTTGATGTTATTAACGACAAAACTTTAGCATATTTTGACTTTATGTGAAGCATTTGATTCAGTTGTCGTGACACTGGGCGATCCTATGTTCAAACTAATGCCAATTTGGACATTATCTTGTCTCTAATAATTAATTATACTTTTATATTGAGCAGGATTTTTGATAACAACAAACTCACTGGAAGCATCCCTGACACACTAGGATATGTGCAGACTTTGGAGGTCATGTGAGTATCTATGTCATATACTCTAGAAACTTCTTACTAAGCTTCTTACAGAAACCATTCTGTGATCGGTTTTCATGTTCCTATAGTAAACAAATTTAGTTTTCTTGTTTTGGATTGAAACTTTTGCCTTGCAAACAGACGCTTCAATTGGAATTCATTAAACGGGCCTGTTCCTTCAAACCTCAACAACCTTACAAGTGTCAGCGAGCTGTAAGTAGACAGAGAAAAGTTTCCAACTTCGTATACAAGTTGTGTCATTAAGAAAGTGCTTTGGTTATGCCTTTTCAGGTACTTGGCGAACAATAATTTGAATGGACCTTTGCCCAATCTCACAGGGATGAACTTTCTCAACTCTCTGTAAGTTGTTGCAATTTCCTTCAATATTCAATTTTATTAGCAATGCAGGTGAAATCTATTTGCATTTTCTGACCATAAGATGATGGTATGCAGGGACATGAGCAACAATAGTTTCAATTCATCGACTGTTCCTCCATGGCTTACAAGCCTAGAGGCTTTGACAACATTGTACCCCTCTCTCTCTCTCTCTCTCTCTCTCCACACACACACATTAACATGTGTAGGCACATGCAATGCACATACTTGAAAGTCTTCTAATTTATATCAGACCCCATTTTGTTTGTTCTAGAGGCCTTAAACATCTTCTTCTAAACGTGTGCCACTCCTTAACATGTTCCTTGTAGTGCCTTGAACACGAAACATGTGCCACTCCTTAATGGTTTTTGGTTTACGTTGTGTATGACTAAATCATCTGAAGCAGCTTTTCATTTTCTGTTAAAAATTGATGCTGCCGGTAATTTCTAGAGAATGAATTGATTTCTAGCTTTATCCATGTCGCTTGTCAATTTGTTAGAGTTCATTTTTGGATTATGGCTAGACCGACATCCTTTTCATTAAGTTATTTTTTTGTTCATCTCAGTCTAAATATAAGGGCAATTACCTGTTGAAACCTATGTTAAATGTACTCGGGTATGTATGAGTATGGGGTGCAGGTGTGTCCAAGCATCAAATCATCTTAAACCTAAATATTGGATATGTATCTAATAGTTGGGTATGGATCATAGACACGTCTAGCATATTTAAATATATTGTGTATTGTATGATACATAAGTTGTTGTAACCGATTACCATTATAATTGAAATTATATGGGATTGAGAGTAAAAAAAAGAACTATCTCCCATCCATGTCAGTGCCTAGAAGGTTCTCTTTAATATCAAATGCAAGTTTCTTCTTCTTCAAACATCATAACATTTAGATGATCCAAGCATCTAATTTGGGTATAGGTGTCAAACACATATCTCATACTACGGAATCACCTTGTCCATACTTAGCTCATTGAATTCTGTAGTATTCATTGTAATTATTTAACCTTGCACTGATTCTAACAGAATGATGGAACACACACAACTTCAAGGAATAATACCGGTCAATCTCTTCAGCCTCCCTCAGTTGCAGACCGTGTGAGTATCACTTGTATCTCAAGTAGAACCAAATGTAGTTAAAGTTCAACACGGGTCTAAATATATATCTTCTTGACACAGAAATGAGGGGTATGGAGTGATTTGTTTTAACATATGTTGACAGGGTACTGAGTAACAACGAGCTTAACGGGACCTTGACTATTGCTGCCAATTATAGCAGCCAACTGACACTCATCGATTTGCAAAACAATTCCATTTCTGGGTATACGGCCGCAACAGGATCCAGTATGGATTTATTGTAAGACCTTTTTCTGTATGATCAGTTACATTTCAGAAGTTACTTTTTCTTCATTTTGAGTTCATGCATCTTGTTTGTGGTCTTTGCTTCTAAGCGTTGTTTCCCTTTTAGGGGTTTTTATTGAGCTCCATTGTATTATATCTTTTCTTTTTGGGTGATGAAGTGCTTACTTACACCAACACTTTAGTAGCCCCCCCCCCCCCCAACCCAAAAAAAAGCAAAACAAAACAAAAAAAAACAAAAGACTATGTCTAATGTTATTAGCTTATTATTATCATATCTATTGCTTTATACAGACTTGCGGACAATCCAATCTGTCAGGGAGCAGGAGCTACAGGAAGTTACTGCACAGCTCAAAAAACCAATTCCTCAAACTTCACACCATTGAATAATTGTACATCCGTGACTTGCGGTTCAAACAAAGTACTAAGCTTGAACTGTAAATGTGCATATCCATACACGGGGACTCTACACTTCATATCTTTCTCATTCTCAAATTTGAAAAACTTGAGTTACTACTCATCTCTCTCGGGGTCTCTGATGTCTGCTTTTCTATCCAATCAACTTCCTGTGGATTCAATTACCGTGAGTGATCCATCCATCGACATATATTCCTACCTTCAATTCAGAGTGCAAATCTTTCCTTCTGGTCAAGATCAGTTTAACCGAACAGCGGTGTCTTCGATTGGAACCCTGCTCAACCGCCAACCTTTCCAGCTCAATAATTTCGGACCCTTCTTCTTTATTGATGAAAGTTATTCCTTTGCAGGTAATTATGGATTTGATATTAAACTAGGAGAAACTTTTTGTATTGTTGGTTTATTTTAATGATGCATTCTAAGTAGCACAAACACAAAACAACAGGACACAGTCATATTGACATGTTGATTTTCAAAAAATGTAAGAGACAACAAGTTTGGGACACGTTATAATTTTATTTTTTTTTACAAATTTATTATACGTCATATATATAAAAAATTATGTAAAGATAGTGAAAAATATGTAACATAACACTGATTATGTTAAAAACTATATATTTTGTAACTTAAAATTTAAAATATCATTCACGAAACAATCACATTCTAAAGAATGCAAAACAATTATAGAACATTGTAATAATAAACATGATGAATTCGTTTTTAAAAGTGTTTCAGATACATATTTAGAGTGTATAAGTTGTGTTACAAAGAGCGCAGAACATTGTTACTATGAACAGATTCATCACATATGACATGTTCAAAGGGTTCAAGTTGAAGCATCCGCAAAGTGTCGATTAAGTGTCCCATATTATAAATTTGATTTTTTTTAATTAAGACACATTGAAGAAGTGTTGGAAACACTTCCTTCACGGAAGTGTTTGTGCTTCTTAAGATGCATATTATTGTCTTCTCCATGTTCATAACTTTATATAGACGTGTGTAATGTGAATCAGAACATGTTGGTGTTTGTGCTCGTCCATGTCAAGCAATCAATCTATATGTTTTCTTATATAGATGTTTTGACAGGAACAACAAGCAAGTCATCAAAGACGGGCATTCTTGTTGGAGCTGTAATTGGTAGTTTTGTGCTCGTATTACTATTCCTTGGAGTTGGATTCTATGCTTTCCATCAAAAGAAAAGAGCTAAAAGAGCAGCTGAACAGAATCCTTTTGGTAAGAAGATCAGCAATTAAACTAAGAAAAGAGCTAAAAGAGCAGCTGAACAGAATCCTTTTGGTAAGAAGATCAGCAATTAAACTATAAGCAAAGCATTTTTTGACCAAATGATATCAAGTTCTTATTTGTCTCTCCAATGCCATAAAAATGCAGCATCTTGGGTCACCAATAACGACATTGATGGAATTCCTCAATTAAAAGGGGCAAGATCATTTCCGTTTGAAGAACTTAAGAAATGCACTGACTACTTTTTAGAAGACAACGTCATTGGATCTGGGGGCTACGGAAAGGTATCATCTTCATGGAATCTTATTGTTTACAATTGGATTGTTTATATTTTTTTTCTCTTTTTTTGACTTTGCAGATTGTATTTTACTACTAATGTTCTTTAGAAAATTGCACTAGACCTATCTTGAGCTAACCTTTAAAGATATATATACCATCATAACTAAAGATTCAAACTGTTGAATTTTGTTGATGCTATGTTTATTGGCACTGACAAAAAAAAAAACTCTGAGCTATATGTAACTTATATTTTTTCCCCTTTCGTTTGGTTTTTATTTCTCTTTCGATCTTTTTTGTTTTTTAATGAATGAATAAATTTTGTCAGAAAATAAAGTAGAGGGACAAGGAAGCTCTTAAGAGTTTGAAGTTTGTTTCCAAAAATAGTGATGAAGCTGACATGTATTTGAAATATCTCAAAAGATCTCCAAACTTTTTTCCATTCACCTAGTTATTTTGAAATTTTCAATATGGAAGCATGTGCTTTATTATTACTTCTTTTTTTTCTTTTTTTTTTGAAAAAAGAATAATGTTTATGTAAGAATTCATCAATATTGGATTCTCAATGTTCTAATTTTTTATACTGGTTCTGGATTTCTTTCATGTCAACAGGTTTATAAAGGAACTCTTGCCTCTGGACAAATAGTTGCCATCAAAAGAGCTCAACAAGGATCATTGCAGGGTGCTCTTGAATTTAAAACTGAGATTGAGCTTCTATCGCGGATTCATCATAAGAATGTTGTCAACCTTGTTGGTTTCTGTTACGAGCAAGGTGAACAAATGCTAGTCTACGAGTACGTTCCAAACGGTACTCTAAAGGAAAATCTTTCAGGTACTTCCATTCATTTCTTGGCTTTCTGTATCTAATCCAAATACTCTATTTATTGCCGCCCTTGGTCCTTATAGCATACTTTATAAGTAATAAATTGAATGCTAGCATCTAGAGAAGAAATGAAGACAACAGAACAATAGTGTAAAATACAGATTTACTTGATTTAGCAATGTGCGTAAGGCTTTGGAAAATTAGCTTGGAATAAGATTGTATTGCTTCTCTTACCTCATGTAAACTCAGACACAAAATTTTTTTACATAAATGTAAGGATTAATTACATTTTTAGTCCTTAAAGTACGAGTTTTGTGTCATTTTGATTTCTAATTGTTTAAATTGGATCAATTTAGTCCCCAATTTATCAAATGTGTTCCAATTTGGTCCCCATATGCAACTCCATCGGTAGACGTTGTTAGGAGACACACATCACATATTATAGGGACTAAAAATAATTTTTTTTAAGTGAGTTTTCACAATAATGATATAGATCATATATTTTAGAAACTAAGAGTGTAATTTTTTAGTTTACATATTTATCTCTGACTTTAATGGCGCCTATTGACAAAGTTAGGTTGGGGGGACAAATTGAAACACTTTTTATACATTGGGGGACTAAATTGACACAATTCAAACATTAAGAAACTAAAATGACATAAATAACATACTTCGGAGACTAAAAATGTAATTAACCCTAAATGTAATTATCACCCTCCAGAGAATGGAATAATTATGGTATTCTAGCAGTAGTAGCATTCCAAAATAGATAATGACTAGGGCCAACGGCCTTGTTGTTCAAACCTCATCCTCTGTTGCGCCGTTGTTTCGAAGTGAAAACTAATGGAGGCATTATTTGTTTTTTTTTTCCTACAAGATGAGCTGTTGTTTGGAACATATTTCAGTTTCTTAATTGAGAAAACATGGATGTGTAAGTGTGATCTCTTATGATAATACAATGGAAAATCTTTGCAGGGAAGTCAAGATTCCAATTGGATTGGACGAGGAGACTTAGCATGGCGCTTGACTCAGCCAGAGGTCTAGCATATATGCATGAGCTTGCTAACCCTCCTATCATACACAGGGACATTAAATCAACTAACATCTTGCTTGATGATCGTTTAACTGCAAAAGTTGCTGATTTTGGTTTATCCAAACTTAGCGATAGTGAGAAAGGATATGTCACCACTCAAGTCAAAGGGACATTGGTCAGTATTAAATCTTCAACATCTTTGCTCTTGTAACAATGTTCTTTCATCATGTTGCACTAGTAATGAGGGACCGCTATAGTTTGTAAAGATTATCGCGGTCATAGAGAAAAATTCCCTATTATGAGAATATGCAAGGTTATATGAGAAGTTGGTTAAGATTTGAATTCTCAATTTTTTCCATCCATTATATCAATAGCTAATTACATAGGCATAATGGAGCCCCAAGTAATGTTTTGAGGAAAAACAAAAGTCTTGCGAGCAAATGTGACTTTTGGGGAATCGGGTTGTTGCCTTTTTTTAATTTCATCGCCTATGAAAAGTTGGCGTATTTGATTTTATTTGCCATGCCTAGAAAGCCAATTATTGAAAGAGGTTTATGTTTTCTCTATTCTAGAGGATATTCTGATTCTGGTTTCTGGTTCTGGCCCGTACAAACACATGCACAAATACACACAATCTTTTGGTTCTGGCCCATGCACAAATGAACACATGTGCGCACATACACAATCTTCTTTGACACAGAGCAATGTCGACACTACTGAACTCAAATGTTGGTGCAGTTACTTGTCTTGATAAAACAAAACATTTTCATGATTTTTATACATGTCTCTTGTTTCTTGAAGTTATCTAACTCATGTCCTATGAAAGCTTCAGTTCATTGTTTAAGCTACAATATTTCCTTTGATTTATGCTTCCAAAAATTTGATTTTTTTTTTCTTTCTATATAGGGATACATGGATCCTGAATATTACATGACCCAACAGTTGACCGACAAGAGTGACGTTTATAGCTTTGGAGTAGTACTATTGGAGCTAGTAACTGCAAGAGCGCCAATAGAGCGGGGAAAACACATTGTGAGGGAGGTGAAGGAGGCAATGGACAAGTCAAAAGATCCATATAAGCTTCATGAGATACTTGACCCGGCTTTGGACACAACACTAACCGGCTTGGACAAGTATGTGGAATTGGCAATGAGCTGTGTCAGAGATTCAGGAACCGAGAGGCCTACAATGGGCGAGGTGGTGAGAGAGATCGAGAACATCATAAAATTAGCTAGTTTGAACCAAAACACTAAATCAACAACAACTTCATCAAGTTATGAGGGGAGCATTCACAATCCTTATGGTAGTGAAGATCTCTTCGATCATAGTGCTGGTTTTTTACCTTTGGACATAGAGCGCCAATAAGAGAATTTTTTTTTTTGTTTTTTATTTTTTTTATAATACTCACAAGACAGTGGACCCGCATAAACAGTCTGGCTGAGTTGGAGAATTTGTTTAAGTACAGTTACTTTTAGTTGAACATATTTGTGTAGATCCTTTTGTGATCTTTGTATCATGTTCCTTCTGTAATATAATCAAATTTTCTTTAGGTTATGAATGTTACAAATCCGTGACATGAATTTTTTTTCTTCTTCTTAGAAGTGTGATTCTTTTTCCTCTTCTCTTTTTTTTTTTTTTTTTTTTTTTTTTTTTTTTGATTTTGTAAATCCACAAGAAAATATCAGAGAATCAAGTAAATTGACTGATTAAGCTCGACTAATAAATTGATGTTGTTGTTTCAAATTAAAAATTTTATTTGCAATTCATTTTGAGTAGTTATAACCTCCTTTAGCTTGAAGGTAGTGTGACCGAGCATGATCCCTAGTGACTGTCTGAACACTCATATAAACCTTGAATAGATAAGTTCCATTATTTTCTACTGAAAGGTTTGGTTAATGCTAAGTACTCAGAAAAGTTGTTAAGAAAATTACTCAGCACTAAAAAGGATGGTTGAGACTAAGGCCATGTTTGTTTGGGTGGATATGAACTTGGGATTGGACTAATAGTCCTATAAAATTATTAATTCGATGTTTGGTTAAACAATTGAAGTACGGATTAATTATTTTAAACTTGACTATTAGTTAAGATAGGATACATAATCCAACGGATTGGTTGTCCTAGGACTATTAGTCATGGGAATGCTAATCCAGTCCGCCTAAACAAACATGACCTAATTGTATACATTAAATTTGGACCATATATTAGCATTTCTTGGGTAAGTTTTATTGCTCAAAAAGTTTTTCTACCTATCTTCATGAAGTTTAAAACTTCCCAGAATCCCAAACTAGACCCATTGCAAAATATATCCATGCTTTCTTGAGGAAAAAAAATAATAATTAGGTAGTATGCAAAAGCAAATGAGGCTATTCAATTAAACCAACACACATTTAAAATGAACAACTTATATATTTTTTTATTTAATGGGACTGGTCTCATCTACATTTATAACAATCAAAATGAATGCAAATATATACATATTGAACAATGTCCACACTATACCGGGTAACATATTATTTTTGTCTATATTGTATTGAGTGGTGTATCGTTTCTTGTCATTAGTATGTAACAAATTGGTACCACTGCATTTTGATGTATCGTTTTGAAAATTATTGTTATAAAGATTATACATTTATCAAGTGTTTTCAATTTATAAACATCTTTAAAAAAAATATCAACATGCCTAAATGGATCAATTACTTGTTACATGATTTTATTAATTATTACAAAATATGCCACTCTTACTTCTAGATAATGTTATTTTTACTATTTAATAGTTTGTAACACTTGATGGTACAACAACGCACACACAAGTGATATGGTTTGTAACATAATGTAATTTTTACAAAATATGTATAAATTTTTAGTACTCGGCATTTTTTATACAGTTTGTTTTTTAAAAATTTAGTTCACTTTAATTATTTTTAAATTTTAGCTATTTTCATTTTTGAATACTACAATTCACTAAATACTAATTCTCCTGGTATATGCTAGTACAATTCAGAATTGGCTAGTACCAGTATAGATCGTTAAGTTTTAATCCGAAAATTGAGCAAAATAGAATGATTCCTTTTTTTTGTATTGCTTTCTTTCTTGCATAATATGTACTTATAAGCTTGTATATACATTATGATATTCACAACACTAGTAGGACATATTTAATTTGCAATAGTTTTTTAAGATTGTGTTTGGATTTTGTGAAAGAAAAAGGAAAAAAAAGAAAAATATAGGGGAAAATTAAGTAGAAGTCCTTATTTTTATTTTTTTGGTTGGGTTAGGGAAAAAAGAAGAAGACATAAATGAAAAGAAAATGACTATATATTTTTCAAAAAAAACAAAACTATTTTTTGTTATCTATAAAAATTAGGAATATTTACTAACAAATCCTATATCTATGATTTATGGACCATGTAGTCCTATAAATATTTTTATGAACTCATAAGTTTTATCTCACATTAAAATCTTCCAAATGAAGCATACCCACATTTGAAAACGTAATAAGGCAATAGTGCACACATTATAATGATATTCCATTGTCACATTTTAACACATTGGCAAAGTTTAATAAGACAATAGTGCACGAATGTTCCATTGTCACATTTTAAGAAAAATGACACATTTAGCAAAAGTTCAATAAGACAATAGTGTACACATTAGAATACGTCACATTATAATATTTTAAGAATGATACATTTGGCAAAAATTTAATAAGATAATAGTGTACACATTAGAATAATGTCACATTGTAACATTTTAAGAATGACACATTTGACAAAAATTTAATAAGACAATAGCGTACAAATGAAGCATACCCACATTTGGAATTTTCAAAAAATATGGTAAAATGACCTCATAGTGTACATTTTAAAATTTAATGGGACTTAATAGTCTACAAGAAAATTCATGAAACTTTCCGGTATATACTTTTCTAGGATAAGATTTCTGTTTAAATTTCCCTAAAAATTATGTATAAGTAAGTTTATTTTTCTCGACAAATCTAATATTTAAAGATAACTTACAAAGAAAAAGGGTAAAGGCTTTATATAAAATAACTAACTATTTTTATTGAGTGAATTAACCATTCATGAATTAACAAATACTCATGAATTGCTAGCAAGAAGCTTAATGAATTGTAAAAATGAGTCTAGAGAGAATCCCTTGTTAAATCTCTTTCTTGCAAATTAATTGGTCATTTGGCTTAATGAAATGAAGTTCGTAAGTTATTTACTTTTTTTTCCAAAATAAATTAGAATACAAATATGGAAAAAAATCTCTATATTTTCACGTTTCTTTTTTCTTTTTTTATCCAACTTCTCTAAAAGGTAAAGAAATCTCATTCAATCAGAGATATCAGATTCAACTCTTTACCCAGGCCCGAATCTTACCTAAACAATTAATAGTAAAATTTAAAATATATAATTTACCTAGATAAAAAAATTACTAAATTTGCCATAGTAGTTTAGTTGTGCGAGTTTATGAGTTTAAATGAGAGAACATGTTTATGAGTTTAAATTTTTAATATACATACAAAAAAATTTAAATGTTGGATTGATTGAGCAGGGTGGACTTGCCAGCTGTAGTAGAAGCTAACCAATTCAGAACATCGTGTGGTAAAAATTGATTTCGTTTGGGATAAATTTTTTTGGTCTAATTTTTTTAATTTTTGGTTTGATTAAAAAAGTTATGCTTGAAATAAATTTTTAGTTTTTTTTGTAATTGATTTGATGATTGTGAGAGAAAAAGTGAAATAATTATGATTTAGATGTGATATTTTATCTTATTGGCTAAATTAGCCTATTTTGTTTTTTTGTGAGCTAATTTAGCCCAACCTATATGCTAAATGGGGGCATTGACCCGAAGGTACTATTTAAGCGGTCCAAAATCCATATAATCCCAAAACAAAACATTTGCACTAATTATAGTCCTACATATTTTTAATTGTTACCAAAAAATCCTATATTTTTTTTTAATGTAAAGACGCTGTCATATCCCACCATTGTCAGATCATCGTCGTACTTCCATCTAACAATCATTGAAGACTTGCCGAAATGTTCAACAACATTGGAAAGTCACCAGAGTATTGTCGTAAATTCGCCGAAGTGTTCTGAACATCATCGGTAGTAATGTCTAGAACTTTGCTGGACATCAAGAATATCGTCAGAGACTTACCGAAATGTCCAGAATATCGCTCAAAAAAAAAAAAAGAAGCTTTTTATCATACAAAGCACATAATTTTCAATTCACAAAATTATAAAAATTTAGAGTTTGAATTTATTGATAATCAAACTGCATAAATTTGTAGTTTCAAAACTGTAAAAATTATTAGCTTGCTAGTTTGCAATTTATCAAAACACAATTTCACGTTGCGGCAATGGTGGAGATCTTAGATCATTAATTTCTAAGAGATTATAACTTTTCAATTTGTCAATATTTGTTAAATTTTTTTTGTTGTTTTAATGAAGAAAAAAAAAAAAAAAAAAAAAAAAAAGGAAGCTAGAGTCATAGAGACAAATAGAAACGTACTTTCAAAACTGCTAAATTTTGCATTTTTCATCACCTGTAACTAAAACTCGAAAAACATTTTTTCAAAATTTGAATATTTTCCCATTAAAACGCGAAAAGAAAAGTGTGTAGCAAAAAAAAAAAAAGAATAAAAACTAAGAGATTGAAGGAGAGAGACAGACATATATAGAGAGAATTATACTCCGGCAATCATTTTTGGTTTACATCTGGCCAGATTTGATGTAGATCTACTCTAAATCTAAACATTCCAGTGAGTTGTTTTGTTATCTGGCTAGATCTGAGTAGATCTATGTCAAGAATATCGCCAGAAACTCATCTCCTTCACTGTCGGTGAGAGCGAAACAAAGAGTCTACGATCGTGGGTTGTCAGTGAACCCCAATCGATAGTGGTCACTGGTCGCTAGTGAGTGTATATTAGAAAGAGAGAAAGAGAAGAAGGAAGGTGCACCTAAAAACTTCTAGGTCTACACAAAAGGTTGTGAGACTTAATAAATACAAGGTCTTTCAAATAGGATATGCAGGTAATTTGCCTAAGACTAAACAACTATGTAAATGAGAGTCATAAACTGGCCCTAGCCCAAGCCCTCAGGGTAGGGATTGGGCTTAGACTTGGACTTAGGCGAAGATTTATAAACCTTAACTCGGCTCTATTTTTCAAAAAAAAGTTAAAAATGATAGACCCTTGAGGTTTGACAAAAACAACTCCTATATCATGGACTAAGCTTAAGCCAAGGTTTTGGAAATTGGTCCGGCCCAACCTAGCAAACTGGTTATACAGATAAATTATTCAAAATATCTGGAATACATTTATGTGGTGCTCTAATTTGATAATTATTTGTCTAAATCATAAGGTCCATCACTTTTGTGTTGATGTTTCAAATATGGGTTAAGTTCCTCTCAAGTTTAAATTGGAACTTGAGAGAACTGTTTGGACCATGAGGTACGAATTCTGTTTCGATAATTCTAACTGTTCATTTTGTAATGTTCTTCATATATATCATCCATGAAAAAAATTAGTTTGATTCGATAATCGTAGACATTTCATTTTATTAAATTTGTC